GATTTGAATCTATGCCAAGATAAGTAAATAGATCTTGACTTCCTGGGTTGTGCATTGGCTTTAAATAATCACATTCTGTCAGCTTCCTTGTATTTCAAATGCGTGTACCCCCTTCTTTTTACTTTCTCCTTTTTTTGTTTGTTTTTTCTCGATCACCATGATACATGAAAACAGTGATCTAGTTTTGTGTGTCATGTCTATTTTAAAGTCATGGCTTTGCTTTCCATGTTTCTCACTGGGTTATGTTTTTTTCTTTTTTAGTCCCATGGTTTGCCAGATAACAGGATTCTGGTTCTTTAGAAGTCTGTGTTGAGCCTTAGGAGAACCATGTGTGGCAATCTGGCCTAAGAAACCCTCCTTCACAGGGCATGAGATGGCATGGTGGGAACGAATAGTACAGACGGTGATATTGACAGAAGATTTTCATAAAATGCTGTTTGTTTCATGATCAAATGAGCGTGAATTATGTCTAGCTCAGCTTTAAGGACAAGCTTTAAGGTTTTTTATTCTTACTACTCTGTGGTTTTCCTGACTCTGTATGCTTATTATCTGTTGCTCTTTGGTGGACTTGTTTGAAGTTGATATGAATATTTGCTTTCAAATGTCCATCAATCTGCAGCCCTTTCAAGGACTCCCACCAATAAGCTACATAGTAAAATAGTTTGACATATCTCCTACAGTATTAACCTATCTTGAGGCTTCATTCTTCCCTTAAGAACCTAAAAAGCATTCTTCATAGAGATGCTCCTATTCTTTAGGATTTTTTGGTTGCCCTCATTTCTAATCTCCTGGCGAATGAGACCCACATAGGGGCCCAAATGCAGCAGTTTGATTCTCCATCTGATTAGCATGGTTTGGCCAGCCTGATGGACTCCAGCAGGCAAGACCTACCCAGAGCTGCAGCTAAGCCTCCTGGTGAGCAGAGATGTAACAAGCAAACCAAGACAGGCGAAAATGCAATAGTCTTCCTTTCTTTGGGGGTGGTCTAAAACACAGCCAGGAATAGTCTCCTCCTCTGAGCCCTTTACCACCTGCTGATTCTCATATTCTCATTCTCTCTCTCTCTCTCTCTCTCTCTCTCTCTCTCTCTCTCTCTCTCT